TTCTGCTTTTAAAACTGCCTGGTTTTTTTAATCAGGTTTTTTGTTGTTGCTTTTAAAGGTTTTTTTTATTTGTTGTTTTGTTTTTGACAGTACTGGGGTTTGAACTCAGAGCCTCCCTCTTTGCTTTTAGTTTACTTTTCAGGTAGGGTCTCACTTTTGCCTAGGACCTGTCTTGGACCTTGATTCTACATCTCCTGTGTAGCTGAGATTCTAGGCTGACAGTTATAGAATGGTCCTGCTGCCCAAACCTGGGAATGGACTTGCCTGGGGGTACTCTTGCTAACTCTCATCCCTGCCACTGCTTTGTCACAGGAAGGAAGAGGAGTGAAAATGTCCCAACGTGATGAACAAGAATAGATAATGGGTAGTGGTCCTTAGAAGGACAGTGTGTTTCCCGCTCATACTCTCAGATGGGGAAGTAGATCCTTTTCAAATCGTGATTACATTGGATGGTTTCTTGGCATGGATCAGCTGGGCCATAAGGAAAGAACAGGACTTTGAGAGCAGTGACTGGCAAGAGGGTGGCAGAAGGTCATTGACTGGAGTGCAGGTGACTCTGAATCAGTCAAATCAAGACCAGCATACTTGTGGAATTTCCTGGGCAAAATTAACTTTTGTGGGCCTGTGTTTACCTAGACAGTATTAAAGAAGTACTCTGGGAGTATGTTACAAAAGAAATACAGGGTCGGGGGGGGGGGCAGCGGGTAACTGTTAAAACAGGCCAGGCAAGAACCTACATTCAGGTAATAGAAGTAGGGGTGCCAAGGAACGGCGTGAGGGATACTGAGGAACCACCTTTGTAATCAGTAAATGGAAATGACCAAGTTGGAAAGGAAGGGGAAGTACAGAAGCCAAGGGTCTGGACTCAGTACCTTGGTTCCTTCCTGTGCTGTTCTCTCATTTGCTGCTAGATATTTGGGACTTAGCAACTGTTAAGATACACGAAATAAAGGAAGGAGGTTTTTAACCTGAGTAACAGGGCTAGAGAAGCATACCGGAGGTAAAAGAGGAACTGGTTTTGAGTAACAGTAAGTGTAGTTCTGGATGAGTTTAGGATGTCTACATTTGAGTCAAAATGAAAGTAATAGATTTATGAGTTTTCCTAAGCAGTGTTAATAATTGAAGTGATAGCAGTGGCCACAGTCTGTGGGAAAAGTGGCAGAGAGCTGAGCAGAGACTTATTGGCTCCCCTGGGCAGAATCCAGACCTTCTAGTGGGGTTTGTACTTGGTTGTCAACTCACTGTTCTGTGTGCCAAATAAAGAGCAGAAGGGTAGAAAAAGGAGGATTGTTATGTGGCACTGGTTTGCTGCGGGACAGGCAGGCAAAGTAGTCACTTGCGCCCATTTTCCAAGAGGTGCAGACACGAGCCTTAGGTTTAAACAGAGGACGAATTGGGGCAGGGGGCTTGTGGTGTGCTCACAGGTGTGGTCTGTTTGATCCTCATCTCAGGATGATCAGGTCATGCCTGGTCAGGATAAGAAAGGCATTGCTGTCATCGGGGTTGTTTCAGCTCTTGTCACAAGATGTTATCAGCAAGATTCCTGCTGGATTCCAAGATGGCTACCGAGAAAACCTCTCAGAGCAAAGACAGGTACAAAATGGAGGCAGGGACGCCAAGCTTTTGTCATGCTTTTAGTTCTTCTTTGGACATTTGCAGGTCCATGTGAGGAGTCAGTACTTTTCAGCAAAAGCAGTTTCTAAAGTGTCTTTTATATATTCAGCAGGACCCTGGTGAAAGATTGAATAAGAGGGAGACAGAGGTGATAGCCTGGTGTCTGATTTGGGCACCTGAGGGGGAGGGATATCTTCTACTGAAATCTGGAAGGAAAAAGGGCAAGCTAATGGAGGGATTGTGTTTAGTTTGGGTTATTTTGAGCGTGACGTTACTGTGGGGTATTTCCACATAGAACTTTCTAGGAGTCCAGACCTTCGTTCTGAAAAGAATTTTCCTTGTTCTTTCCTCTCAGTTGTCTCGAGTCCTCTGTCTTTATGCTTCTGGATAGCCTTGGGCTAGAAGCTCCATCTTTCTGCCTGTTTCCTCAAATCAAAGAAAAGGGTACTGGATGATATGTAGGATTTGTAATCTGGTTTGGTTGCATATTCTCAGGCCTTTTGAGATGCATATTGCCCTCAACAAGTTACCCTGTCAAGGGGAGAAAAAGGATGTAGGGGAGACCCAATGACAAAGGATTTACCCAGCTCTCAGGAGGGTCAGCTCAGGCCCAGACAAAAAGGCCCTGGCCTAATGGATCTGCTCTCTCTCTGCTCACAAGGGCTTGACTCACCCTGGGTGGTCAAAGGCCTCTTTGTCCATTTCATCCCAGTCAGCCTTGGGCCTCAGTCTTTTTCTCTTTACTCCTCTTAAGTTTGAGCAGGACAGTGGAAGGCGAAACCCACCAGAGCCCTGGCACTGTCTGCTCCCTCATTAGGTATCAGTCCCTGTGAAGGGCTTGGGCTCTTCTGCTTTCAGAACTTTCCTAACACCACATTAACAACCAAAAAGAGTATCCATATGCAAAAAACCCATTCTGGTGAATGCCCTCTTTGCTCAGACAGTGTGTGTGTGTGTGTGTGTGTGTGTGTGTGTGTGTGTATTATCCTGACCTGGGCAGCCACATGGGCTGGAACCACCCATTCCTTCTTCATGGGAAAGATGGGAGAGAGGGATGATTAAAGGGTTTTTCTTCACTACCTGCTGTTCTTAGCCACTGAGTTTGGGGGCTATCTGAGCACATCTGCTGTACTGGGCTAACTGTGCAAATGTTATTTGGTGAGCCATCACTGGGCATTGGTACAGACCTGATGAAGAAGTCATCCTTCAAGGTCAGCATGTAGGAAGGCCTGGAAATCATAAATTCCATCAGATTGAAACCTGATTCCTATTTATCTCTTTAGGACCAGATATTTTAAAGGACATGCTCATTTAATTTTCTAAATTTTTGGAAGGAAGAATCCCTTCATCAGGTAAAGCGCCACCCCCCTACACCCCCAAATTAGCCAGTTCTTGTTCGAGGAAGAGGAGGCACTGCAGACACACTTGCTGCAGACCAAGCACTCTGCTGGTCTCGGTTGCTGTGTCTGCTGCAGTCTAATGCTGTCACAGAGGGCTGGACAAGCCTGGGCTGGAGATCAGTGAACTGGGGCCTGGGACTCTCTTGACTTTTATTTAAAAAAAAAAACTCTGAATGTCTTAAAATAGCCTGGTAGCTAAAATAACAATAACAACAATAATAACTTGCTATTGCTGAGAGTGCTTGTTTGTTTAAAATCTGAGGCCCTGGTCCTGGCAGCCGTTAGTTTCCACGAGCTGGGCTCCCACACGAACTGCTGTAATGGAAAGCACATGGTCGCATCGCGACAGGAAGCATGGGTCTGTGGAGCTCTCTCAGGCCCTCTGAGGAGTTTCCTGAGCTTCGGCCAAAGACACCCCCACCCTAGAACTTGAAGTAGGTGATGGATCTGTGGACCTGGTTGTTTTAAAGAACCCCATGATGTTGCTTTTCTCTGGCCAAATAACAACTGTCCGTCCACTTTGAGGGTACGGTTTCTCCAGCCTCGATTCTCATCACCAAGATTTTAACTGCCTTGTTGGAAAAAAAAAGAGGGGGAGGGTGGGCGAGTCCAGCCAGCCACGGTATATTAGCCCACGCTGTTGTTCTCCCGTTATATCTGGAAATGTATGAGCTGTCCTCTGAATGGGCAGTCATTGGTCATCCCTAGACTCCCCGCCATCCTGGGAGACGCTCTGGCCATGCCTCACCTACCCCTGCCTACCTGGTGTGCACCCACCCACAGGCCTTGCTTGCTTCCTGGTTGCTCCATGGAGCAGACCCACCTCATACCCAGCAAAGCAGCATCTCTGGTCCTCTTCCCTTACTGGAACGGCTCCCCAGAACCAGGAGTGGGGAGGTTGAGGAAGGAAGAAGGCCTGGAATGGCTCCTTAGAAGTGGGAGGGACTGTTACACTAAGTACCTGTTGACCTTGGGTCTCGTGACCCAGCAGTCCTGAACAACAGTTACTAATGGCTTTACCGAGTCCCCCTTCCTTCCCCAATTCCCTCAGCAGCCTGAGCAGCATCCTTGACGTGCTGGATTTCAGATTTTGACAGGTGATAAAAGCAAATACTGAGATTGCTGCTTTGTAGCTATTGACCGGTGTTATTTCTGCCTTTGCTAGGAAGCTCACTCATGGGCTTGCTCTTGCTTTTAATGGATTGCTTCCTGATACAGTGGGAGGTTCAAGCACTTGCCCTTCAGCTTGGCAAACTACAGCTTGACCTGAATGGAGTCGCAGCCACACATAGAACTTTCAGACCAGGCAGTTGGCAACAGGACTCCATTTCTTCCTCAGAAAAATATAGTCAAACAACAGCTGTAAATGCTCTTATCCGTATCTTTGTGGAACCCAACTTTAATCAGTATACTCCAGATAATTCATTTCCATTCTGTGAATTTTTAACATCTTAAATGCTCTGCAGTCCCAGGGTTTGGCCCCTGTACTTCTGAGGACAAAACGGAAGATGCTTGATCATAACTTGTCAATAATAGCTATACTGATAAACAAAAAGTCTTATGATTCTTCTGTTCTCTTGGGGTCCGGCCAGTAACCCAAAGGCTCTGCAGTGGGTTCTCGTGGGATATCTCCTAGTGGCTCTTTCTCTTCTATTCCTCGGAGGACCACATTTTCTGTTTTGTGCAGGAAATTCCCACTGTTCTTGGGTCCCAGATACAGTTGGAAAGACATCAGAGTGTTCACAGCGGAGGCCATGCCTGCGATCTCAGTGGCCCAGACAGGCAGCAGATCCTTGTTGTCTTGTTTGTTTGGTATTTACCGTTCCCTTGCTGAGAGTTTGGGGGACCAAAGCTAACAGCTTGTTAAAAGAAGGAGAGTAATTTGACTTCTGGCATTGATGGGCTCTGGGTTACTGGGTGTTTGTTTTCTGATGTGAACGCTGCTGTTTGGTGACCACTAACTCTTCCCTTATTCTTGTCTTGCAGATGAGCTCACAGTGCCTGCACTTTACCCCAGTAGCCCTGAAGTGTGGGCCCCGTACCCTCTGTACCCAGCGGAGTTAGCGCCTGCTCTACCTCCTCCTGCTTTCACCTATCCCGCCTCACTGCATGCCCAGGTAATCTATACCCATCGGCCACGACTTCACTCACTTCTCCACCAGTCCTTTCAGACCTGGTTCCCCAGAGCACACCATACGACTAACACCTATCCAGCTAACAGATTCACCTTCAGGAGATGAATGACCCCCTCTACATCAAGCTGACACTCCTCCAGGACTTACGAGGACCATCTGACAGCAATGTTACCACCCACTGCCTGATGTTTGCCCCAAACGGCACCTCTCTCTTCCTTAATGACCTCACCCTCATCTCACACACAAGGACTGGGCCAAGGTTCCCTCCCTGGCTCCCAGCTAGCTAACGGGTGCCATCAGAGCATAGGTGTGTGTGCCTTGTTGTATGGAAGACTGCCATGTACTCGGAACAGGAGTTAGGTGTGTCTGCTTGTGTTTCTGTGTGTGGACAGGCTTCTACTCTCCTGTCAGGAGGAGATCTAGTGACCAAAGGGGAAGCTTCCAGGAGGAAGACTTGAGTTCTCTATATACGTTACAGGAAAAATGAAGGGCTGCTTATTCTCATGTTGAGGAAACCATGTAGGAAAGGTACAGTACCCTAGAATGTAATTATAGGTTCTGTGCAGCTATCTTTCTTAGTTAAGAATAGCCGGAGTTGCATAAACAAACTCCTTGTTTCTCCCCAAAGATAACTGTCTACATACTAACACTTCCTCTTCCCTCGGGAAAAATGGTGCCCTGAGCTTTCACTGTGAGTTGTAGTGCCAGTGTTAAGATTCGTCTCTGGAAATAACTACCCATTGTTGGGCCTACAGGGAGTGATGACCAATAACTAATAAATAGAAAGGATATAGATTATAAATGTATACATAGAATACAGACAAGTGTCCCTTGGCCTAGTTTTTTAAAAAGAAAAAATTGTGAGGCTGGTCAGGTGGGATTTTTGTTTGTTTTGCGTAGTGTTTGTTTAAGGCTGTATGAAATACACAGCCTCCCGGAGCACTTTTGCTTCTGAGTTAAAACACTGTTATGTTGTATAAGACTGTGTTTATTAAGACACCTGCAAGCAGCCCCCTGTGAGGGTCCTTGAAATTCGTGGGGTCAGGAGTACTGAGGGCTGAGTATCCTTCTGTGCCCTTTCAGCTGAGTTGCCCATGCTGTCTGCCCACATCGGCAATGCATCTTCCCTGGGTATCCAGACTCCATGCAGGCAAACTGCAAAGAGTGGCCCTTGGCGCCTGCGCCCTAGTAGTGGTTTTACCCTGGGTTGGGAGAAGGAGATAGAAAACAGTATCATGACAAAAAATGTAGATGGTTGTAGTGAGAGGACTTGGCACAGAAAAACTCTAGAAGTAGCTGTGCCTTTGCTGCCCCTCTTCTGCCTGTTATCCATGTCAGTACTCAGTAATCCTCACAGCAGGCAGATAACAAAGGAGAAGAAGGCAAGGTGCAAGCCTGTGGCTCAGTGAGTAGTGTATTTGTGCTTCAGATAACTGAGACATCAAGGAGCAGCTAAAAGAGCCCCTTTGGTTTTTCAACCATCCTTCTCTCCTCTCCTAGACATTCAGGTACAGATCAGTTGGCAATTACGGTCATTGTTAATAAATGCCATGAAACAGTGTGAGGTTGCGTAGTCTTCTGGCTTTGATTAGTCAGCAACAAAGCCTTTCACCAATGCCCAGAGAAATAAGTGGACAATGGCCTGAAAGGATTGGGCTTCGAGCTATGACAAAATGGATGAAATCGGAAGTGATTCTGGGGATATGGCGGGAGGAGGACCTAAGGAGTCTTAAAAGATTAGAAAGCCGACAGCACTGATGGAAAGAGAGTGCAAGATTAGATGGACTCTGCCATGTGCCTTAATGGGATGCAATGCTCATGAGGCGCCGTCCCCTGGGAGTTCTTTCTTGCTTTTGAGACCTCCCCAGCCTGGAATCCACTTGACTCTGCCATCGGTCCTAGATTTGGTGGAGCTCTCATCTGATAGTGGTGAGATCCATGTGTTCAGTTCTACTTCATGTTTGGAGTCATTCCCAATGCAGCCTTGGACTCTAAATCTCAAAAGATGCATGAAAGAACATGGTTTCTTACATTTACTTTCCATTTGGGGACTCAGAGTGAACTGGTATGGGCTTTACAGACCAATTGGTCTAACCCATCTTACCTATGAGGAAACAGGCCTGAGAAGATGCAAAGTTACCAAAATCACAGTGGCTCTGTGCTCTGACTAGATCCAGGTCAGCCACCTCACTCAGAGACCTGGCTCTTAATACTCCAAGGTGCTGGCTCACCAAAGACTTACTCTTTAATGACATTTTGGAGAGGCCTCACTCCAATGACTCTTTGGAAGTTTCTTCTCTAAGTAGATGGGAAGCCTGTAAGAAGAGACTTGGAGGCAAGGACAAGGGAATCAGCACTAACTACACCCAGAGGGCCTCAGAATCTACTAACTGGAGGTAGAGCAGAGTGGGGAGGCTCCATGGAGTGGATAATTCAGTTTTTGTTTTGGAAATTTTGTAATGTCTTTGAAGAGTCTTCTAAGTAATTTTGTTTTTCTTATGTTGTGCTCTATTTTGAGACATGGATTTTTTTTTTCTTCTAGTGTTTCTCTCCTGAGGCAAAACCCAACACACCTGTCTTTTGTCCACTTCTCCAGCAAATTAGATTTGTCTCTGGGAATGTGTTTGTTACATATCAACCTACTGCAGACCAGCAGAGGGAGCTCCCATGTTGAATTTGTTAGTTATTTTTTTCCCCCTTTTGCAAAAAAAAAAAACAAAAAACAAAAAAAACTTACTTCTTGGTGACATTTGAGAGATTTCAATAAAAATTTTAATCAGAGCAAAAAATGATCTCAAGTAGACTGCAGCGTTTTGTTTTCATGGTGATACAGTTTTGGAGCAAAGGTGTAAATCTCTCTGGCCGAGGTTGTGGGAGAATTGGGCCCATGACAACTGAGTTATGTTTACACGGGAGAAAGACTAAGAGCGTGCTGGGGGGGCAGGGCCTCAAAGCCGAGGCCTCGTCGCCGCTGCTTCCACCTCCTTGGGCTCCCAAACCACTCTGTGCTGCATACTGGAAGACTCTCATTTTCCAGCCCCATGGGCCAGAACGTCAGCTACCAGCAGCGCCCACATCAGCAGAAATGGCGTGTGGCTATGGAACCCTGATTGCAACAAGTGGACACATTTTTCAGCTTGGCCTCTGTCATCCAGAGGAAGAACCCAGGAGACAGCACTTGCCATTAAAAAGGAGTTGGGTCACGTTGTCTAGTTCTGCCCCAAAGTCATTTGTGATCTGTGCCCCTCGGATTTCTCAGCTGTAATCCAAAGATGCCTATCTCCCATCACATCCCATTGTGAAGAAAGAATTGGATGAGGTAATAGGGCAGCACACTGTGTACTGCTTTATTAGAGACCTTGTGCAGCTAGCATCCGATTTCTAAGATTGTTAGCATTTTTAGAAGTGACCATCTGGTTTGCTTTCAAGATCACTGGTACTTGAAATGTATTAAATATGTGTGTAAGTCACCATGGGTAGGAGAGGAGGATATCAGCCACTGCTTCCTGGAAGGCTGTGCTCTGAAGACAACATGCAGCCTTTCTATCACCACCCTTTAACGTGCTGCCTTTTAAGTTGGGGTTTATCTTGTGCTCTTAGTCTTGTTTGTGGAGCAGAGAGAAAGTCAGTAAAGAGCACTATCCTCACCACATTGTGGAGCTCCAACACCACTCACCCTCCACTAGTCTCAGCCACAGTCAGGCCAGCAGCACTGGCAGAGGAGGTCCTGGCTGCCTGCGGCTTCTTCAGAGGCCTCCTTTGCCCCAGGTCACTGCAGTCCCTTCAGAACTCACACAGCCTGCAGCCCAGCCCAGAATTTGAGCTCATCACCTGTGCAGAGGAAACAGGTTTCAAAAGCATTACCCAGTTGAGGGCGTACACCAGAGAGGTCCCTTGTGACACAGTGGAAAACTTTTAAAGGTTAAACCCAAAATAAATACAGAAATGGACCATGGGAAAAGAGACCTAGGCAACAGAGCAGGGAGCTCATAGGGGGACAGATGGGCTGAGAGCTTCCATCTGGATCTCCTGTAATGCAGCCCTGTCCCCACTGCCACCAGATCTGAGCATGTACTCATCAGCACAGTACACCTTTTGGTGACTGGATTTTAGAGGGTTATTTTAAAAAGCAAAATTTTACTAAGCATCTGGTCTGTTGCTAAGTACTGCCCTGTGGAGGGTACTGAGAAAGACAAGGCACAAGGACTTCTGGCATGCATGCACAGAGCTTGAGGGGGATGCTGACTCAGGGGTGCACTCAGAGCCCTGGCTGCAGCTGTCACCCTACAGGGCAAGATGTCAGCTTTCAGCCTCCACTTCCACTTCAGCACTGTAATGGCGGTGGGTCCTGCCTGCGACGTGTGTGCAAAATCCTATTACCTGGAGCAGCTTCAGGAGTCAGGGAAGGGCCAGGAGATTCTGGGTGTCTGCTTCTGCGAACCCCAGATTGCATCAACTTGTGTCCTTGGCTCCAGGGCTGTTCTCATCCTCTTGAGCTGCAGCTTGCGACTGTTGAAGACCCAGGCTTTGCAAGGACTGCATAGGTTGCTTCTGGGGCTGTTGAACTCAAGGCTCGAAGTTGTTTCAGACATAAGTGAAGCCCTTCCTCCGCCAACACTTCGGTTTTCCAGGAGGTCAGCTGGGGGGGCGGGAGGGTTCCTGAAGGCTTGCCTCCTTCCTGATTTGTTAGCTTTACTACAAGCAACTAGCTTAGCACCCTCATGAGGGACACAGGGAAGCCATCAGAGTTCCTTTTCTCTTCTGTGGTTCCTGAGGGCAGGACCTGTGCTGTCAGCTGAGCCCAGGGTGCTGCCTCTCCTGGCTGGATGGAGAAAGGCGGGCATAAGGAAGTACCTGGCTTTGCCGTTTGCAACCTGTGCGGCCTTTAAGGAGCAGTTGGAAAAAGGGGGCAAATGGTTCCCCATGTGAAACACTTACTCGTGCCTGGCTCACAGTAAAGTCTTAGCAAATGTTCACTTGCG